CGCCGGCCTTCATTAACATGGACGTATGTAAGTTGCCTTTGCCTCGTCGGTGCCCAGCAACGATGTGTCCAATCCCATTAATTGGGAACGTGTAGATGGAGTAGTGACCTCGCCTCGACGGCACTTGGCCAGAGTTCCGTCTAGCCTGGTTGGTACTAGACGTAGATATAGTAGAAAATCCGCAACAAATTAGCAGTATAAGTATTGCTTGGACGATGCTCTCTCATGAGATCAAATCGACAGTCTCCCGGTGTCGGTATTTTATAACGAAACGAGGCATTCTCATCTCGTGTGTCTCGAGCGGGGCAGTGCTGACTCGCGCGTCCTCAACACGACGAGTTTCTACCCACGGAGGCGGAGCTCGCGCCAGGCAGATATCATATCAAATCATCGAGCTCAGTGAGGGCGACCCCTCGCTGTAATTACCAGCGTCCCGAGCTCGTAAAGCAATCTGATCTGGCCAATACGGCCTCTTCGCCGAGTTCGGAAGAGGCCAATAACGGCGACTGTTTAAAGACAGATTATATAGCCTAGGGGGTCCAAGGACCCCTTTTCACGTCCTAAAGGTGTCCCAACACGTTACAAGGCACAACGGCCAAAAAAACGACGACACAGCGCCCTGACATATTCTGGACATCAACTTGTTTCGACTGGTCATATCCGATGATGTCATGTCCTCATTTGGCGTGCGTGTGTGCCCTCCAGTTAGACTATGGCTGACCGTGCCTCTATGTGTACTTTAACACAAGAATATTATGCATTATACTTGCGATAATTTGCTATGCACCGAGTGTTCATTATTCAAAAAATGGATTAATTAATAATAACACACTACTATATAGACAGTGATTTTAGATTTATATTTTAAAATGTATATATCTGAATATTCTTGAATATAGATTATTTTTCAGTCTATGGGAAAATGTTATGTTTTATCCGTAATTTATTATTAGTTGATCCTAACACTGGAAGTAGCAAAGGAAAAAAAATATAGATCTGCTATTGTTTTAACTTATTATGTGTTCTTAAGGTACTAAATAATGTTCGTAGCAACTATAATTGCTCCCATAAAAACATTATAGTAGGATATATAGTAAATGGTACCATTACAAGGTAATATAAGAATAATAAATTAGAGTCATTAATGGTTACTAAAGAGTTTTGTAGCCGCATATTATTTTTCTATCACCAACAGTTGGAGGGTTGGAGGCGACTAGGAGCGAAAGTTCAGCGTTCCATGTAGGATAAAGGATGCAGTTTAGCTGAAAATAAAAATTTGAGGATTGAAATGCACTTTAATAGCTCATGGATGAAATTGTGCTCAGAATATAAAGTTTGTGGACTGAAATGGTTACTTTTATCGTCCTTGGATGAATTGAGCCAAAAAATAAAGTTTAAAGACTAAAACAACCATTTTAAAAGTTTTGAACGGAACTAAGCCCCAGTCAATAATTTAGGAACTAAAATGCCTATTCTACCGTACTTTTATGTGATAGTAATAAAAGTAATATGTATTCCTATCTATCGCGAGTGACAGGCAATCAGTCGATTTTTACCGGAGTACTATAGCATGGTAATCTACACGATCCTGTCATACTAGTAAGATTCATAGGATAAGCAATATATATGCAGGTGGATTCCATTCAACTGCTCAAAAGTTAATGCACAACAACATAATATAAGTGCTGAAAAATAGAGGTTATGTACCGGGGCTTACCTAGATAAATAGCATAATAGAAAGTTAGTATTCCAATCTTCAAGATGATCACCATTAATCTTCCCGTTCGACGAGAGCATCCTTCAGTTGATCCATTGGTTTATCATCGTTCCTAAATGATATGCAATATGCTTAAGTGAAACATGCATACACAAATTAAATTCCATATACAAACTTTATTATTTTTGGATGATATTTTTAATGTAGCCTTATTTTGGTGTGTTTCACATACTGTGATTTTTCCATCGTTTTTAGTAGCCTTCAAGTGTATGAACAATTTAACTAGTTTTAACTTTGTCATTTTTATACTACAGACAATACGGTCACTTCACTGCATTTGGAGTATGGACACGACCTCTATAATTCAAACATAGGAAACCTTAAAAAGACATAGATATAAATCAACAGTAAAAACTTTGTACTGAAACATGTCATATTATGTATTCATTGCATAGATCTACTTACGTGGAGCTCAACAGAACTTGAGTATTTTCAAAGCTCAGCCTATTTCTGCGTAAAAGAAAAAGAAAAACATATATAAGACCAGCGCTTTGCATCTAGGCCCCTCAGCCCCTCATCTTTTTCTCTGCACGACCCCGACCAACGTTCGGTCAAATTGGCTCGCAGTCGCAGCGGCAGTAGCCACCAGGTGCCCGCATGCAGCGCAGGAATCGAGGACTGAAATGCATTTCCATAGCTTATGGATGAAACCAAGCCATCAGGGATCGCAGAGGCGCGTGCGTTTGCTGCTTCGGGCGGGGCCCGTGCATGCACCTTGCTTCGCCAGACAGAGAGAGAGAGAGTGGAGTGGACTCGTAGGGGCCGTGCGCATGCATGCGTGGGGACCACGACGGCAGGAGAAAAGGCGGAGGCGTGAGTGGCCGTGTCATTTTCACCGTGTTTTTTCATCCATTTTTTTTCAATAAATAAATAATATTTTTCTCTTGTAACAAATCAGTATCAGCAGCAGTTAAATTTCAACGAAACAGGACCTTTGTTTCCTGGTTCGCAAGGCAGGCAGAAGAAACTTGTCTTGTTTCCTGGTTCTCAACGTTCATTAGATAGATCATAAGTCCGTGATAAAAAATAAAGTTACTACTTGACCATACTACTTGATAAAAAAGTTACTTTGTGACAGTGACCATACTACTCTAAAAAAAAGTTACTCCATCTATCCCTAAATATCTGTCGTTTTTGTTTTCTAAGAAACAACTTTAACTAAATAAATATTAAAAAAATATTAATATTTATGGCATATAATTTTTTTTGAAAGCTATGGCACATAATTAGTATTATTGGAAAGGTATTTGAGTCTAGTTTTTTAATAAATTTATTTAGATATACAAATATTACACGTATTTTCTACAAATCGAGTTAGACTTGTGACACGCACACCAACGGTGATAGTTATTTTGGGACCGAGGGAGTACTACTTGACCATGCTACTTGATAAAAAAAAGTTACTATGTGACAATGACCATACTATGCACTCTGTAAAAAAATTACTACTAATGACAAATTAGAATTGTTAACGGCTGCTAAAGAGTTTAGATGCATATTATTTTTCTATCGCTAATCGTTGGTGGAGTTGCATGTAACCAGGCACGACAGTGCAGCCTTCCATGTAAGGATAAATTGAGCTAAAAATAAAAGTTTGTGGACCGAAATGTATTTTGATAGTTTATGGATGAAACCAAGCCATTCTAAAGTTTGAGGACTGAAACAAGCATTTTAATAGTCCTAGGATGAAATTAAGGCAAAAGGTAAAGTTTAAGGATTGAACCGACCATTTATAAAAGTTCAAAAACGAAAATAAACCTCGAGCAATAGTCTAGGGACTAAAATAGCTATTCTGCCATACTTTTATGTACAAATAAAACATGCGATGCGCTATGTGACGTTACATGGCTGCGATGATTAATCCATGCATAGTAGAACAAACGAGCGTGCTACTTTCAGGGACGACCGGCTTAATAAGACCGTTCTAATGGTTGATAGCTCAGTTTAATTTAGTGATTTGGGTGGTTCCTTGTAGGAACGGAGTGAGGTGTAGTAGGGTGAGTAGCACGAAGACCCCTGTGTAGAATGATTTTTGTTAAAAAAAGTAAAAACCATTATGAAAAAGCTTCTAAATTTTTGTAACTTTGTACAACTCTAGGTGTGACGTGTTATATATTTTTTGCAATTTTTTATCAACTTATGATTAGCTGCAATAGCATGACAAGGCAAGTTTTTTTGTCTTACTATTTCATTGCCCCTTAATATTGTATTTTTCATATTGATCAAGTTTGAACTTAGATGCTTGCATGCATTTACATTTTAGAACATGATCTTGCCCTGAGTGTGCAGAGATTCAAATTTCCTAAAAGCTTCTAGGTATGTTTAACAATTTTACTTGAATATGTGTCAAATATTTCATAATCTGTATCAGGATTTAGGAGTAAAAACAAGGAATACTTTATTTTCTGGTGAATGATAATTTCAGCTGACAACAGTTAATTACCAAAAGAACCTAATTCCTCCTTTCTTCTGTGAGGGCTACTGGGCTAGGGGAACTTTTATTGTAAAATAAAACAATAAGAAAAATATTATACAGCATGTGTGTTTGTTGTTCACTATTCAGGCCGGGTCCGGCCCAGCATCCCACACCGAAGCGTGGTCCGTTTCATGTTCGGCCGCGGGCTGAACCGAGGCCGTCAAGCGCGCGCCGCCCACGCGTCCCGCGCCAGCTCGCCGCGTGGCCGCCGTCTCCTCTCCCCACCCGGAGTGCCTCGCCGTCGGCCGCGTGGCCAAAAAGCGCTCCCACTCTCGGCAACGCACTAGGACTAGGAGACCGAGACGCCCGAGCTCCGAGCAGAGCACGCCGTCCCTCTCAGCCTGCCTCTCCTCTGTGCGGTGCCCCTTCTCCTTTCTCCAGCGCCCCCAGCGCCCGTGCACAGTGTGCACTGGCAGTGCACACGCCCGCCGCCCGCGCGCGCCGTCAAAGCTGCCCCCAGCCACCAACTCTCGCCGCCCTCCAACCTGCTGCCTGGTCGCCGTGCAGCGGAGCGGAGACCAGGGGATCGATTCCCCTCCCTCGGTAAGACGGAAGAACCCTCGCTCGCTCGCTATCTGTCACGGATTTGTGGGGGCATTGGGGTTTCATCCCGAATTACCGAACCCGAAATCTCATCCTCTTTCTCTCCCTCACCAGGTCGTCGTGGATTTCTCATTGCATTGTGCGGCAAGTGATTCGCCGAGAAACTTGGGGACGCTGACCTGAGGCCGGTCGCTCGCACAGAACATGGCAGCATTGGCAGCAGCAGCAGCGGTGGTGTCGCAAGAGGCAGACGCCGAGTTCCAGATCTACGCAGTGGACGGGTACTACTTCGAGTCCTCCAGGAAGGAGCCCGTCTGCTTCTCTACCCTGCCGCTGCGGTTCGGGGACGCCGCCGCCGACGTTCCCGAAGGCAACAAGCGACTGTTTCTGCGTGGATTTGCCGGCCGGAGGCTCAGGGTGTGTAAGAGGGTGGTGGCCTGGAGGCTGGAGCTCGATGGCGAGCAGCCCGAGTTCTTCGTGCTCCTCTCAGCAGACAGCGGAGGCTGGCTGCGGCTCGCGAAGGCCAGGAAGCTCTACGAGCGCACGGCCAGGACTGTGCTGATGACGGCGCAGGCGCTGCATTTCCTCCGAAGGAATCCTGATGGGCCGGAGACAGCCCTATGGATCCATCTTCGCCAAGCTTTTGGGTACCTCGGCAATTCCCCGGTCGCTCTGCCGCGTTTGTTTCTTCTTTTGTTGTAGATGGTGAACCCTGAGTCTTACAGATTTCTCTTGTTTTTTCTGCAGCAGGTTTTGGCCTAGGCCCTCAGAGCATGACTTCAGGAACCAGACCTCACTGTCACTGATGACGCAGTTCGCGGCAACGGATCCTGTCTTGGCAACTTCAGAGGTATAATAATCTGCTCCACTCTTGCTATCGGAATTCTCAATTGTGTTTTTTAGTATATATATACTATAAACTATACAGCACAGCTGTGAGGGGTTAACTACATAATAACCTACTAGGTGGCATTGTAAGGCCTGGTTTAGTTTCCAAAAATTTTCAACCCAAACTATCACATCGAATCTTGCGGCATATGCATGGTCTATTAAATATAGACGAAAAAAAACTAATTGCACAGTTTGGTTGGAAATTGTGAGACGAATGTTTTAAGACTAATTAGTCCATGATTAGCCATAAGTGCTACAGTACTAACATGCGCTAATGGTGGATTAATTAGGCTTAATAAATTCGTCTCGCGGTTTCCAGGCGAGCTACGTAATTAGTTTTTTTTATTAGTATCCGAAAACCCCTTCCGACATCCCCAAAACATCCGATGTGACATCCAAAAATTTTCATTTCGCGAAGTAAACACAGCCTAAATTAGAAAATTGAACACCCAAGTCGAGGCGAAGAGAACTTAAACTTAGGTGGTGGGCCGGGGGTGTACACCCACACCTCCCAACAACTGTGCTAGGCTCAGTTCCTGCTTATAACTACATTCAAACTTTGTTTGTCTTGAGCTGGGTTATGTCAACATTGTCCTTAATTTGCAACAAACAACATACTATCGCTCGAAGATTGTAACTGTAGCTCTCTGCCATTTCTGAGCTCTACTATCTTTTAGCTACAACTCTCACCCTTAGAGTCGCAGGCTTGGGTTTGTATTGCCATTAATTCTATGCTTGCTTTATGATGTTTATAATGTAATCTTAGATGATAATAACATGTAAATGGACTGATCTGCACATGATATGCCTACCACAGGGCCTTTTGTCCTTCTCCCATCTCTATAATTAAAGAAAAAGTGATTGGAACAGCTTTTTGTTGTGCTTGATTTCTGTTGTTTGTAAGTTAATCTGGCCTGTTATGATGATTATTTAACTGATTTTGCCATGATTATTGTCTGATAGACTTTGCGAGCATTTGTTGAAAGAATATCTACTAAGGTATGTGTATGATTCTGCATAATCTTGAACGTTTTGGAAGACAAATTAACCACACGTTAATTGTTTCTCTTAATATAATTTTGACAAGGTTGGCGGTGCAGACACTATTGACATCGCCGACGAGTACTTCTTCCAAGCCAAGGACAACTACAAGTTCGTGTGCTTCTCCACCCTGCCGCTCCGGTTCAGGGCCACCGCCGCCGCCGATGTTCCCGAAGGCAACAGGGCGCTGTACCTGGCGGGGTGCACCGGACGGGGCGCCAGGCTGCACAAGGAGGTGGTGGCCTGGAGGCTGGAGCTCGGCGGCGAACAGCCCGGTTCTTGGTGCTCGCGCCAGCAGACGGCGGAGGCTGGCTGCGCCTCGCGAAGGCCAGGAATATCTACGAGCGCACGGCCAGGACGGTGCTGATGACGGCGCAGATGCTGCATTTCCTCAGGAGGAATCCTGATGGGCCGGAGACAGCCTTATGGATCCACCTTCGCCAAGTTTTTGGGTACTTCAGCAATGCCACGCTCTGTCGCGTTTGTTTGTTCTTTTTGGCAGATGGTGAGCTCGCTGAGGCAGGCTTACAGATTGAACTTGTTCTTCTGCAGCAATTTTCGGCCTAGTCCCTCAGAGGATGACTTGTGGAACCAGACCTCACTGTCACTGATGAGGCAGTTCGCGGCAACAGATCCTGTCTTAGCAGATTCAGAGGTATAATCTATTGCGCTCTTGTTATCAGAATTCTCAATCGTGTTTGTTAGTATATAGGGAGAGTATATTCAGTAGCCAGCTACAAAATAAGTTATTCTGTAGCCACCTCCATTTACGATAATTTTATATACTAATTTACGATAATGTCAATACATATTTATGATAGTTGGGTTACTATAACACATGAGGATATTTATCATAACGTTATAGTAAACCACTTAGTAAGGAGTTACTATAATCTCGTAAATTAACATAGTAATTATCGTAACTCAAAGTGGCTACAGAATAAGTTATTTTGTAGCCAGCTACAGAGTAATAGTTCTATATATATATATATATATATACTATAAATTATATAGCACAGTTGTGAGGGGTTAACTACATAATAACCTAGGTGGCATTGTAAATTAGTAGAAAATTTGATACCCAAGTCGAGGCGAAGAGAGCTTAAACTTAGGTGGTGGGCCGGGGGTGTACACCCACACCTCCCAACAATTGTGCTAGGCTCAGTTCCTGCTTAACTACATTCAACCTTTGTTTTATGTCTTGAGCTGGGTTATGTCAGCATTGTCTTTAATTTGCAACAAACAACATACTCTTGTTCTAAAATTGTAATTCTCTGGCATTTCTGAGCTCTTCTATCTTTTAGCTACCATTTCCAGCCTTAGACTTGCAGTATTTGTTAACTTGGGTTTGTATTGCCATTATTTCGATGCTTGCTTCTTGATGTTTATACTCTTAGATGCTAATGACGTGTAAATGGACTGATCTGCACATGATATGTCAACCACAGCGCCTTTCGTCCTTCTCCTGTCTCTATAATTAAAGAAAAAGTAATTGGAACAACTTTTTGTTGTGCTTGATTGCTGTTATTTGTAAGTCAATCTGACCTGTTATGATGATTAGTTGACTGATTTTGCTATGATTATTATCTGATAGGCTTTGCGAGCATTTATTGAAAGAATATCTACTACGGTATGTGTATGGTTCTGCATAATCTCGAATGTTTTGGAAGACAAATTAACCACGCGATAATTGTTTCCTCTTAATATAATTTTGACTAGGTTGGTGGCGCAGACATTATTGGCATCGCTGACGAGTACTCCTTCCGTGCCAAGGACAACTACGAGCTTGTGTGCTTCTCCACCCTGCCGCTTCGGTTCGGGGCTGCCGCCGCCGATGTTCCCGAAGGCAACAAGGCGCTATACCTGTCGGGGTTCACCGCTGGGGGCCTCAAGCTGTTGAAGCAGGTGGTGGCCTGGAGACTGGAGCTCGATGGCGAACAGCCCCAGTTCTTGGTGCTCACGCCAGCATACGGCGGAGGCTGGCTATGCCTCGCGAATGCCTGGAATATGTACAAGCGCACGGCCAAGACTGTGCTGATGACGGCGCAGATGCTGCATTTTCTCAGGAGGAATCCTGATGGGCCGGAGATAGCCTTGTGGATCCACCTTCATCAAGTTTTTGGGTACTTCGATTCCCTGGTCGCTCTGTCGCGTTTGTTTCTTCTTTTGGTAGATGGTGAGCCTTGAGTCTTACAGATTTCACTTGTTCTTCTGCAGTAAGTTTTGGTCTATGCCCTCGGAGGATGACTTCAGGAACCAGACCTCACTGTCACTGATGAGGCAGTTCGCATCAATGGATCCTGTCTTAGCAAACTCAGAGGTATAATCGGTTCCCCTCTTGTTATCGTAATTCTCAATCGTGTTTGACTGTTTGTTAGTATATATGGCACAGTTGTGTCTTCAATGAGCGTGAAATAATCTACGAGTTATGAGGGGTTAACTACATAATAACCTAGGTGGCATTGCACTTAAACTTCGGTGGTGGGGTCCCAACAATTGTGCTAGGCTCAGTTCCTGCTTAACTACATTCACACTTCGTTTTGTGTCTTGAGCTGCGCTATGTAAACATTGTCCTTAATTTGCAACAAACAACATACTCTTGCTCTAAGATTGTAATTCTCTGGCATTTCTGAGTTCTGCTACCTTTTAGCTACCATTTCCAACCTTAGACTTGCAGTATTTCATAACTTGGGGTTGTATTGCCATTTATTTGATGTTTATATATAATCTTAGGGATAATGACGTGTAAATGGACTGATCTGCACATGATGTGCCGACTATGGGCCAGCCTTTCATCCTTCTCCTATCTCTAATTAACTAGAGTGTTTGGAACATCTTTTTGTTGTGCTTGATTGCTGTTATTTGTAAGCCAATCTGACCTGTTTTGATGATTATTTAACTGATTTTGCTATGCTTATCATCTGATAGGCTTTGCGAGCATTTGTTGAAAGAATATCTACTGAGGTATGTGTATGGTTCTGCATAATCTTGAACGTTTTGGAAGAGAAATTAATTGTTTCTCTTAATATAATTTTGACTAGGTTGGTGGTGGTGCAGACATTGTTGACATCGTTGGTGGTGCAGGCATCGTTGACGACGGTGCGGTCGTAAATGAGATTTTTGTTGACGATGCTCCATTCTAGGGTGAAGGATAAAAAAGTGTATGAGCTTTTCTTTATAACTACGAGTCCTATGTGTTGAACTAATCGTATGCAATGATATTGCTATGTACCACATATGAAGTTTATCATATGTATGTTAAAACTAATCCTGGCAAACATATGACTGGTAGTATTTCTGTCAGCTTTGCAACGACCCTCAACTCTATTGTTGTTTGTCCATAATCCTTGGCTTTCTAATTGAGCTTGTTTCACGATTTGAAATCTGGTAGCAATATAGAAGTCAAATAAAGCCCAAATTTTTACAGCTGCTAGATAACTTAGTGAACCACATCTCTGCCAAATTTTGTGGTATTTGGATATGTACATTGGTAGATATGTATTTTTCTTTGAAGGGTACAGAATCTGCTAGAAAAGTGACAATTATTGGATCAAGAGTTACTTTAATTGCAATGTCCTCAAGTTGAAAACATGTTTACAAGTGTTTGAAGTACCTAAGTTTGGTTTTGGATTGATCTAGAAGCATGACAAGCAAAGAGTACAAGAACATTTGATTGTGGAGTGTACTTGGCACACATTTGGTACTCAAATTGGAAGATCAAGATTAAACTTAAGATGAAGATAAGGTTTAAGTTCTAGTGACATTTGGAGATCATTTGGTAGAAAGAAAATGACTTAAACTAGTAGAAAGAAAGGGACTTGAAGAAGGATTCAAGATTACTCATCAAGTTAAGTCCATCAGTTGGATCAATCAATCAAGTCATTTTAATTGGGTATCAACAATGGTTCTTTAGAGAGAGGTCACTTCTTCCTAGTGTAAGGGCTTGCTGCCTTTTGTGGGAAAACCAAGTGTGGTACTTGAAAGGCTAACATGGAAATATTGATCTAAGGAACATTTGAGATGCTTAGTTGAAGAAGTCAAAATGATTGATCTATAGAGCAAGCAACACTCAAGAGAGCTAGTCGTGGCACTTCAAGTGGTATTCTAAGTAGTTCTCTCAAGCAAGCATTGATAGATGATGAAGCAAGCCAACCATAACAAGATAGTGCACTTGATCATAAGTGGTTCTCAATTCATATGGGTGAAGAATAGATTTCATATTGATAATTGGTCTCACCAAGCTATTAAATCGGACTTCACATTGCTATTGGAGAAACGAATTGGAATCTATGTGACTATCATCTTCTCTAACATAGCAAATGTATCATTGTAATGTGTATGATCATTTTTCATCCCTTACTAGTATGTGGTTAGAGCATATAGTACATGCTTATTAGGATCATGCATAACAAATGAAATTTTAAAATTCATAGCCTACCACTATTGCTTGAATGATTAGTTGATCTAGTGGTATGAGTATGAGTTTGTTCATGAGCTAGTAAACCCAAAGTATTTGATCTATTTTGGATTGCTAATAAGTGATAAGTATAACATTGGTAAGATAATCCTTGCAAAAGGTGTGAAGAAGCTTGCCATTGGATCAAACCGAACTTGAAAGCTTAGGCAAATCACTTTAGCTCAAGTCAAAGAGAAAGAAGCTCATGGAAACAATCTAGTTTAAGAAATGGTTATTATTGACAAATTCTACAAGTGGTTCCATGATTGTTCTTACACGTGGTAACACATCTCTACACATGGTATCAACCATACAAGAAGGTGATTTCACAAGTGATCCTCAACTTTAAGTGATCATCAAGTGAAGAATGATTTCCTCATCTACAAGAGCTCAAGATTATCAAGTGAATGACCCATGTTTGGACATAGGGGGAGGTGCTCCACCAATTGGTATCAAGATCATAAGATCCTACACATGGTGTCTAAAGAGCTATACAAGTGGTGTCCATAAAAAATGCAAGATTCAAGCCTCAACCATCTACCCCTAATGAAAGCATTTGCATCAATGAGAAACACACCTTTTATGGAAATTGATGATAAAGGGGGAGAGATTGTACAAAGATATAAAAGCTTTGGGAGAGATTGAGACAAAAAGTAGAGGTTGGACATGAAGTATGTAACACCCTCGGTGTTACACCATAAATCATTTACTAAAACATGTCATGAGCATCATGTTTATGTGTTAATACATGTAATAAAGTGTGTAGATCAATTTTCGTAACTCAAAACGATCAACAAAAATGCTAAACGAAAGTTGATTCAATAGTCATGTTATATCACTTAAGGTTGAAAACCAATTTTTATTAAGCAAAAATGCTATAGAACACATATGTGTTACCTTAATAAAGTTGGAAGTACAAACTTTATAGATGACAGTGAAATACTTGCGGTCGATAAATGATATTACTAGCTAATATTTCCACTAGCTTAGAAATCGTAAATGGAAATCAAATTTAGCTCAAAAACTTAGAAATTTTCAAGTCTGCCAACAGCTAGACATTGCTATGTTTAGTAATTTATTGTGAGAGATTGAGTTAAGGAGTGGTGTAGTGTTATAGCTCGATTTGGTAGTCTCATATGCCATCTTGTGCCTGATGAAGCCGGTTTAGGTTTAGGAGCAACCGTTTGGTCGTGTTGAGCCCTTTAAAATTCGTGCGCATTACTGGTTTCGGCCTGGTTGGCCGCGTGGCCGCGATCACCGTGCTCGGGCGCTCGGCGTCGCCACGTTGGTCACGTGTGCGCGGCCGACCGTGGCCACCTCTGGCCTGGCCAGGGTTCAACTGCCGCTGGCCCGTCGTGCGGAGCCGCTGCTGTTGCCGCCTGCCCCGTCCCGCGCTGCGCTGTCGTCGTGTCCGCCACTGCTGCCTCGCGTTGCGACGCTGCCACTACCATCGCATCGTCATCGCGTTCATGCATGTACGTTGTAACCGCTGCACCACGCTGCCGCTGGCCCGCTTTGATGCCGCGCGCATGTGGTCGATGCTGCCGTTGCCGTGTCAATTAATGACACCGTGGTCGCGCGCGTGCCTGTCGGCTAGTGCCAGCGCATGGGTCTCCCGATCTCACCGCTCGCGTCCCGCCAAGGCAAGGACGAGCCGAGCCGACCTGTCGTGCCGTCTCTCTCTTTCTCTCTTCTCTCTCTGCTTCCGCATCCGTCAAGTCGCGGTCACGGTGAGCCAGAGAGCGAGCACCTCTCATCAATTCCTTGTGCTCGCATCTCTGCCCTCACGTCCCCTCTCCAGCCGACTTGACCCCGCCTTGATTGCGGCTCAGCTGAGCTCCAATTTTGGAGCTTTGCCCGCCACCGTGCCGTTAAGGCCGTCGCCGCCCACGTAGTCGCTAGCCTCCACCACTTCACCCGCGCAAATTCCTCTGCACCACTAGCTCGCCTTGGCTCCCTCTCCACCGTGCACATGCTTGTGGGGCGCTTACCACCTCCTGCTTTGCTTGTTTGCGGTCGCGTGTCCGCCACGGCTCGTCGCCGTGCGTGCGTCGTCAGCAGACGCGTGGCCGGCTCTACTCGGTAGTAGTCGCCGGTCGAACCACCACTTCAATTTGGGTTGGTTGGTGTGCCCCCTGGTGCTTACCCCCTATCTCTACCATCATGTTAGCACTGTGGCTCATCGAAACACGGTTGCCACCGTTGCAGGTTGCCCGCCGCCGGGGAGAGCTCGCTCTGCTTCACCCCCGTTCGTGCAACCACCGCCCATCGTCGCGCGTCGGCCCATAGGTGAGCATCGGTCCCCTAGATAGGTCAGCGTGAGTCCCGTGTGGTCGGTGCAAGCGCTAGTGCCACCGCTCGCCGTGCCGGAGCGTGCGGGGGAGGCCGGGGACCTTGCCATTGTAAAGAGGAGAAAGGTCTGAGGGTTCTTTTGCATAAGTGTTGTCTCTAGGAATAGTAACGTGGACTGCGGGTTGTTTTATTCGTAGTCCAGGGGCGTTTTAGTTAATATGCCAGCGTCTTGTGGCTCCCTCCGCCGTGGTCCGGTCGCGTGGGCAGGCTGCGCGTGCCACGTTGGGCGAAAATCGCTTTTAGCTTTTTCGTGGAAAATAGAAATAGCTTTTCATTTTAATTCTGAGATGAACTTTGGTAATTAATATAAAATAATGTAGATATCCAAAAATTGTGAAATAAATTTTGTTAAGTTTCTAAAATTGTGCTCTATCTGTTGATGTATTTAGTTCATATATATACTTGTCGATACCTGGAGCTATTAAATCATTTGAGAGTGCTTAATATTATTAGGTTAAATATTGTAGGAATTTTTGTGGTAGAATGGTGATAGCTTTAGCTTTGAAAATTTTACAATAGCTTTATTGTATTATTATGTGCTCACTGTAATTTTTGTAGACATAAAATAGACTATTTAATATGATAGCTAAATAACCATTAAGGCTAAATGAATAATGGCATGATATTGGTTTATAAAAATTTAAGCACTTGTAGGGTGAGCTTGGAATCTATTTGATAGAGATCATGATTAGCTTAGTATCTTAGTCGTTAGAGCTAGCTTAGTAGCTTAGTATGTGTATTCTTATTTTAAGAGTTGCTGGTGCCAAAATACTAAGTGTTGCATCATCATCGCATGCATGTAGAGAACGAGTTGGTGGAGTTCGTGACCGCCGGAGAGCAGGAGTATGAAGAGGTGATCGAGGAGTACGTGGAGGAGGTCCTCATGCAGGAGGTCCCGGAGTCGTCACTGACTGACTTAGCTGACAATCCACCTGCCCAAGGCAAGCCCCAGTGCATAACCCTTATTTTGAATAATCACTAGATATATATATGTGATGTGCATTTACATTACATGCATTTTATGGAAACCACCTGCATAAATATGTTTGTCCTGTGAGTCCTACTAGTACAGGTGCGAGTAGATGCTATGCTTAGGTTTTTCGGTAGCATGAGTAACCTGTCGTTACTCACAATAGGTGATTATTACTATCACTCATGATAAAATGGTGAAAAGAAATGGAGACCGAGCAGGAATATGGTACGGGTATTGGTGGGTGTAAGAGGTTGTGTCCCGTGACCAACGGGGCATAGCTTGGTTACACTGTTTTCCCTGTCCGTGTCGGTTAAGGACCGGCCGTTGTATTGGATTCTAGTCAGGTCATAGACTTATTATCC